TGTTTCCTCCCACTTTTTGCAAAGAACGGTGATTTCTCTGATGGGAACAAGGTCTGATCTTAGAGAAATCTATTGTGTCTGTAGGCTAAGTCATGAACGAAGATGGCCTTCCTACTAGGGTATGGGAAAAGGGGGACAAAAAAGGAGTAATATATAGACAAAGAGTAGTCAGGTCTACATGGATGTTGTACAAATAACACATAAGTATTTGGATACTAAGTCATCTCACAAAGCTAGCCTTCTCCAATATGTGTAAACAATTCCCAGGATGACTCAGCTTCTTCTTCTCTTACTCATTTAAATTTTACCATAAGAGTGTGCTGGTCTAAGCTCTTTTCTATCAGAGCTGATGAGGGTTATCTCGGCAGAAAGTGAACATCTTTTTGAGGTCATTTGTCTTAGACAGGGTTTCTCTGTTGCTTTGGAGGCTGTCCTGGAACTAGCTCTTGCATAACTTCACCTGATCTGGAAGTTTCTTAGGTGTCACAACTCTGAGGAAATTCTTCTGTATAGAGATTTTATGATGAAAGCCCCAATACAGACATCGGCCAACCATGAGAGTGTAACGTGTAGTCTTCCTGCCAGCTTCCTGGGTCCTGCAGCTGTCTCAGCCCACAAATAACACATGAAACACTATATTAATTATGAAGCTGTTGGCCATTTGCTTTGTTTCTTATCAGCTAGCTATGACTTAATTATTAACCTATAATTGCTAATCTGAGTATTTCCACATGATCTTCTCTTACCAGAGAAAGGGTCCATACCTCTAACTTCTCCCGCATCCTACATCGTGACTCACTGTGCCTCTATTTTCCAGAATCCTCCTTGATTCCTAGTCCCACCTATTTTGCTTCCCTATTGGCCAACAGTGCTTTATTTACACCAATCAGACAAACATATACACAGAAGAACTTCCCCCATCATGAATGGATTCCCAAAGCAAGGTGCAATCCTAATAATAACTAACTGGAAAAATTTGTCCAAAAATAGTGAGCTATTACTTAAATCAGGTTTAGAGACAGCCTGTCCATTTTAGTAGTTAAAATTCAAGAGCTACAAATAGTAAATGCATCTAGACAACGTTTTTCTTTACCTATTACATATCTCATATGTACTTGTGCTTAAATGGTACATTAAAAAAACACTTTATGCTTATAACTGGTTTAAATTTCATTATGTCTTAAATAACTATCATCTTCTCCATTGTGCCATTTTATTTAATTCAATAAATCATTTCTTAGCACCAACTAAGGGTGTGTTTGTATAAAAGGCATTATACTAGATGCCACCACTGTAGAAGTCAGTCTGACTTGAATTTTAGGAACTTGTTACTCAATGATTTGCCCACATATGTTCTCTCTCCATTAGAATGAAAGGCCTAAAATAGGTTTGTGGAAGGCTACTAAAATTAGAAAACAATGAACAGAAAATAAAGCAATATGAAAGAGTGTTCGACTATAGCACGTTGGGGTTAGAAGACTTCTTCAATCCTGTCTGTTATTGTAGCCCATGCTATTTAAATAGACTATGAATCCCAGGTCATATGTTTTTTTCTGTAGAATAGGCAAAACAACATTATAATGAACTTGAAAGGATTAAATAATATACAATTATTCAACTTGCTATTTCATCCTAAGACCATTTAGGAGCTTCCAGTATGTAGGAGGACCCAGAGAAAGGAACAGCCTGCCATAACACAGTGTAGTGAGTACTGTTACAGGAGACTAAAGAGTTAGGACTTAATTTTGAAATTAGAAGCCAGCAAGAAGATTCAAGTAAAACAATATTCCTTGAATTTCTGTGTTTTAGGAATAACTTGTGTTGTAGCATAGTGGGTGGGTGTTAAAAGGCTGAGAATGGAGACCAAGTGGCCTGTGCAGTGCTAGTTCAGAGATTTTGTGCAAGTGCTTATTACAGGCATCACTAACAGACAAGAGGACTAAGGAGACACTGATGAAAGAGGAGGGTTTGCTGTAGGATGACTATGCAGTGATTTTCTGCTGGGCTATGTTTGGAAATAGACTGTTAGAAAGAAAGTGTGGAGCTAAGACTTAGACAAGTGGAGTAGCAAAGGAAGTAGGTTTGATCTTAAGGATAATGGCTAATGGCTTGCCATGTTCACCTTAAGATGCCGGGGGGCCCGGACACAAGTAGAGACTTTTTGATAATTTTTTTGTTGTTGATTTTGTATTTTGAGACAGGGCCTTGCTAGATTTGCCTGAAATTCATTAGAAGGTTCAGAAGGCTGGCCTTGAACACGAAGCCTTGTCAGTGCCAGAATTACAGCTTTTAAGTAAACTAGGTGGCATTCCTTCTACTCCTGTGTTTGAGAATCTACTTACAGCGACTTTACTGAACAGTAGGTACAGAGACTTTTAATCAATATTGTGACACAGCAGATCTTCTCTTATGTGCATGCTCATACAACCAGACACACACACACACACACACACACACACACACACACACACACACACACACACTTCTGTTTCCTGGGAAACCATTCATCTGACCACCTATTCGCTGACCTGGCAGAACTTTTGGCCAACCACTGTTTTTAGGCTCCATTAGAAACAGGACCAGTCATTCAAGCATGATTCCATTGACTGAGGTATTTCCAGAGCTGGAAGAGGAACTTGGTGTCCCTAAATCTGTCATGAAGATACTACTAAAATTGTGACTTAAGTGTTTCTCATTGAGAAACTCAGAAATTTTATCAATGATTCCAGGAAATCAGAGGCTTCTGGTAAAGAGTGAGTCACAGAAAAAGGGATATTTCTGTTGGCTAAAGGTCAACTGTCTTTTAATGATGAAAAGTCACTTTGCCTCCTTAATGATGAGCACACATATCTAGCTAGTTGCCAAGTGTTAGCAACCTGACCTTGCAGATAATTTTCATCTGTGTCTCATCCTTTTAACTCTCCGTTCTGGCAGTAATCATCTCCATCCCTGTTTGCACTCTACTTTTCTTGCTAGTCTCAAGCCATTGTGTTCAGTAAACCATATTAATATTCCCCAATTAAGGGACAAAGACCAGGTTGGCATTTGTCATTGAGTTGCCTTAGATGAGCTACATATACCCTGAATCTGGCTATTCTATTTATTCATTCATTCACTCATTCATTCATCCACTCAGCATTCATTCATATTTCAACGAACATTATAAATGTAATTGAAAACCTGGCATTTTCTGAATGTGTCTTGCATTTTGTTTTGTCCTCATGTCTCCCAGCATGCCTCACATGTCCCTTCTTACTTTGTATCACAGAGCAACTTCTAAGTTCAATATGTGACTTAAACATCTTTCCTTAAAGCTCCACATCCCCACCATTCGACTTGGAAATGCCTCCTTTTGAAAAAATAAAATTAAGTGTTTATTTTAAATAAATCAACAGGAGGCATTTTGAAGAATTTATGTAAAATGCTATTTTCTTTACTTAATATGAGCATTCCCAAGTCAGGGAAATATTTTCCTCCCTATAGGCTCTCACTAAACTACAATGCAGATCTCATGAACCTTAACATTTTATTTAAAAGTTTATGCATTTATTTGTTTATGCATGTGACATATGTGGAGGAGAGAAGACACTTTTGGGGAATAGCAAACCTTTTTTATTTTATTTTAAACACACACACACATACACACACACACATATACACACACACAGCGCCTGCATGTTTGTATATGTAAGTGCCTTCATGCCTGGTGCTCACTGACACCAGAAGGAAGCATAGGATTTCCTGGACCTGGAGTTGGCGATCATTATGAGAGTGCACGTGAGTGTTAGAAACCCAGCCTGGGCCCCCTGAGTGAGCAGCAAGAGCAGCAAGAGCTATTCACGGTGAGCCACCTCTCCAGCTCTCTGCCTCTTTATTTTAAATTCATTTATTCAGTGTTGCTGAGACCTATCTTTTCTCCCCTTAACAGTAGAGTTTGTTCAGAAGATTATTTTAAGGTGTGTTCTTCTAGAAGTATACTTTCTTTTTACATACTGAAATTCAGTAATTCAGAGAACATTTACTGGTATCTTATTAAGTTTCAGATGTTTTCCAGGCTCTGATGTTGTACACTTAATACAAGAGGCCATTCTTGCTTCAGAACCGCTATGGCTTGAAGTTTTAGATTATAAACGTGGATCTGAGGCTAAGGGGAACCCATGACCAGGAGTTGTCACTTTGTTCAGGGAAGGAAGAAAAACACCAGCTCTTTTTGTGTTTGACACTTCCTCTCCTTGTCAGGCGCTTGAACAGTATTCACTCAGCAGAATGTGTTGGATGGGCATGGCTGTGTCTGTGCCCTCTTCTAGTAGATGCAGAGCATTGGTTGTTAAACGCTCAATAAACAATGTCACAAGAATCTTTAGGTTATTGGGTCAGGTACTATTTTAAATACTTCATAGATAACATCACTTAATAATCATGATAATTTTTGTGGAAGGTGTACTATTTTACATGATAAATGATATAGTTTTTAAAAATCTGGACCCAATGAAAATTAATTACTTCTGTCACATTAATTGGCAGGACAAGACTTGATTGTGAGTATTATTCTATGGTCTATTTTCTTTTCTCCTAGAGCTACTTCTCATTTAGTCTTCCTATTCTAATTTCCTATTTATCCCTTTATAACATTATATTCTATTTTGTCTAGACTGTGTCATCCTGAAGTACCTGATCTTTTTCTTTTTTAAATTTAATTTTATTTATTACTGCAGGTGCATGTGTGAACACACACATGTGCTTTGTGTGCATATGAATGTCAGAGGACAATTTTGCAGAGTCGGATTCCAAATAGAGAACATGATTTTACCATCTTACTGGCTCTCAAGGTCCATATTTTTAAGGGTCATATTGCTTACTAATTTTGAAAATATTTTGGAAAACTATAAATTTGGAAAAATTATACAGTAATTTTATATTTAAAGATTGAAAATATTATTAGTAGGTCCTCCTCTAGAGCTTATGACCTGTCTCTTCATGGCTTATATTTATACCCATAGATCAACAAATCTCTCAGTCCTCTCTGAGAAGCTTCTATTTGCAGTAGATGGTGATTAACACAGTGGCCCAAGACTAGTCCAAGTGTGGAAGGTAAGAGACTTCAGAGTGACTAGCCCTAAAGAGAACATATACAGCTGCTCATTCCCAATGCTCAGGGATTATTTCAGAAAAGGGGGTGGGGCAAAGTACATACGACTACAAGGAAACATTATCTTCTGGGCATAGCGGGCAGCTGAACACATGGACTTAGAGAGGTTGCAACAACAACGTCTGTACAAGCCCAAACCAGACAGAAATACAGCATGGATAGTGAACTTGGGCACACAATCCTACCCCAAACTATGGAGCTATTGGCAATTGTTAGCTACTGGGAGAGGGACAGACAGTTTTCTCTTAAGTGTGGTCCCTGCTAGTTGACCACTGCCCAGAGGAAGAACACATATCCAAGAATATTTGGGCAACCCAAATTGTTGAGTTGTTTTTGCTTGTTTTTGTTGTCTTTTTAGGAAATATGTCATAGAACTGAGTAGGCAAGGAAGACGAGTGGATCTGGGAAGAATTGGGGGAAGCGTTGAATATGATCAAACACATTGTACGGCACCCTCAAAGTTCTAGTACAAATATTGAAAATACTTTAAAATTAATTTAACATGTCTAAAAATTATCTTGTCCTTGGGATCAAAGATAAGTCTAACACTGTGAAGAAAAGAAATGCTGTTCAGGCACTTTTTCAAAGTTTGTAACATCTGTAAGCCACATGTTCCTCTCACTATTGTTATGTCACTGGAGATATGAGATGTGGCAACTACCTTAAATCTCATTATGAAAGTGGCCATATTATTTTACTTTATTATTCTATTTACTTCTTGTCTTGGTTTTTAGGAAAAACTACCGGCCAGCCTACCCAAGCCACAGTCACCCTGCCTGGGTGTCTAGGCCAGCCCATATGAGCATATGAGGCAGGCACTTCCTCCCTGAGCCAGCTGCCTCTACACCCAGAGACTGCTGACGAAGAGATACCTGACCCAGAGACACCAATGAGGGAAGGACAACACAGCAGAGTCAGCTGCCTGAGCCAATGGGACCTTGGAAGCGGGTATAAAGGCAGGTCTAACTTCCTTAATAAACGAGTCTGCTGCACGCTCTGCTACTCACTGACTCCCAGTGCCTGAGTCGTTGGTACTGCATCTGCTCACCCCCTCCTACAAGGGGTGTCTGAGCAAGGTAACCTGCAACACTGGTTATGTTGAACATCTATTGAGACCTGAATAGAAATAGGGTTTTGGCTTAAAAGCCTTGAAACTTCTCGCCATTCTTTGCCTTCCTTCTTAGTTGGACTTTTGGCAGAGAAAAGTCTTTTTAAGTATGAATGTTAAGATTTCCCTAGTTGAGTCTCAACAGCTCAACATGTCCTGGGTTTTTCTTGTCACTGTCAGTGTCTAATAACAAGACTTGCTTCTCAATGCAGCACATTATTACTATTTTTTTTACAAGTTTTGCCTTTGACTGTAATACACAGTTTAAGCATTTAGTTCAGTGGCACTAAATACACTCACAATTAACGCATTCACCACTATGATCTCTGGAACTCTTTTTACCATGTAAAGTAAACAATACATCTACTAAACAATCATTTCCTAGTCCCATTTCCCTCCCAGGCCCTGCAAACCCCCCAATTTGCCTTCTGTCTCTGTGATTTTGCTCTTCGGAGTAAGTCATTAAGTGAAATACAGCATATAGTAATATTTCTTCATGAGTGATGCATTTTGATCATTAGTATACAACTATCAAGCCTCATAGATGTCAGAATTTTCTTTTCAAGGCAAATACTTCAGTGTATGTATATGGATCACTTGAATTACCCACTCATGGTCAGTGGGCATATGGGTAATGTTTGTGCTTTGTCTGTTGTAATGCTCTGAACACTCTTACATATAGCTATTAAAGTACTTGTTCTCAATTCTTTTGGGTACATATCCCAAACTAGAATTGCTAGGTCACATGGTAATTATTTTAGTTGTCAGTTATTTTATTTCAGGTCAGTTGTATTTTTTTATTGGGATTGTACTGGTTTATATTCTTACCCACAGGGCCCAAGAATCTCAATTATTTCAGATCCCCACCAATGTGCAATATTTAGTTTGTTTTTGACTTTTTGTTGTTGTTAGTAACAATTCTAATGGATGTGAAGTGGAATTTTCTTATTTTGTTTTGTATTTTTCTCTAAAGATTAATGATTTTGAGCATCTTTTCATGTGCTAATTAGCCACTTATGTGTCGTCTTTGAAAACTGTCTACTGAAGTCCTTCATCCATTTTAAAATTGGGTTGTTTCTTTTGTTATTATTATTTTTAGGAGTTCTTCATATTTCTGACTAATAATCACCTATCAGCCATATGATTTGTAAATATTTCATCTCATCGTCTGACCTGCCTCTTTACTCTGATGACTTCTTTTGATATACAAGCTAATTTGAGGCGTGGGAGTACACCGGAGGAGCTGGATGGGGAGAGGGAGGGAAGGAATGGTGCAAACGCAGTGCTCATCTATGAGGCTCTCAAAACAGAGACAAAAACTAAAACACTATCCTAGAGTCCTGTGTCTTGTGTCTCTTGTTTTTCTTCCAGTTCCTGCACCTTTGGCATCAAATCTGAGAAATCATTGCAAAATGTCTTGAGGCTTTTATGGCATGTTTATTTTTAGGTTTTAGGAGCCTTTACAGTTTTAAGGCTTCTGTGTATGGTTTTACCTTCTATGATCTGCTTCTCATCTATGGGGCTAGTTGATTCCAACTTCATTTATTTGTACACACAGACAGACAGACAGACACACACACACACACACACACACACACACACAAAGACACACACACACACACTCTCAAACCATTTGCTAGAAAGACTATCTTTTCCCATTGAGTGATATTCTTGCACTCAAGCATATTTTTAGATTTATTTATTTTATGTGCATGAGTGTTTTGCTTATATGCATGGCAATGTATCTCATGGGTGTCTGGTACCCATAGGGGTCAGAGGAGGGTGTTGATTCACTGAAACTGGCATTACAGACTGTCATAAGACACCATATGGGTGCTGGGAATAGAACCCAGATGCTCTGCAAGAGCGAGCCAGTGCTTTTAACCACTGAACAATTTTTCCAGTCCCCGATTTTTGGCATTTCTTTAGAAAGTGATATATTTTTAAGGGTCTTTTAATTTAAACAAGTAAATAAATAAATTCTATATGCCATGGTCCATGTGTAGAGGTCAAAGGATAACTTTAGAGTAGACTATATTCTTCTTTATTCCAAGTCCTGGGATCAGACTTGGGTCTCCAGGCTTGGCCACAGGGGCCTTTACCTGTTGCCATTTCAGTATACATATATCAGTTGAATACCACATTGTTTTTGTTACTCAGTTTTGGAATACATTTTAAAATTAGAAGTATGACTCCTCCAACACTCCATATCATTTTTCAAGATTATTTTGTCAATTCAGTGTCTCTTGAGAGTCCATATGCTAGGTTTTGCTGTTTATGAAAAATAGGTTTTGATACTTAACTGAAGTAAATTTGTAGATAATTTTGGGAACTATTGACAACTGTTGATAATATTAAGTCTTCCAACCCACAAAGCCCATGTATTCTTTTGGCAATAATATGTAATTTCCATTATACATGTCTTTCAATTACCTGGTTAAATTAATCCCAAATTGTTTTATCCCATTTGAAGTTACTGCAAATGGAACCACTTTCCTTTCTCTGTGAGTACCTAGAAATGAAACTGACTTTTCTGCATTGAATTTGTTTCCGACTACTTTGCTAAATTAATTGCTCACTTGTAAAACTTCTATGAACAATTATGATCCCACTCAAGTGCATATCTCAGTGATGCAAGGACATTCCATTGGTAACTTTACCTTCTAAATGTGTCCCAATAGCACAGTCATGAGTACCATGTAGTGAGCTGCTGGTGTGTTCATGGCTATGGCGCTACCATATTTCACAATGATCCGAGGTTAACGGCTAAGGATAAAAATGAAGACAAAGACAGCGGCTCATTCTCACAAGGAGAATGGCGTTTATTCTTACAAGGGTGGAGCCTTAAATACCAAAGGCAGGCATGGTGGAAAATCACCAACGTCAGAAACTTACATTCCCAGGGTCCTCCCGGCAAAGGGTGGGCCAAAAACAGGAATTAGCATTTAGACAAAGGATGGAAGGAAAACAGGAATTTGTCTGCAGGCCTTACTGGGAGGAGGGGATGAGAAGTGTTTAGCTAAAAGCTCCTAGTATCAAGTGCTCAACAGAACCCCCATGGGGGAAGGGTGCAACAGTACTAGACATTTAACTCACTGGCATTTAGCAGGTGCTCAAACAATAGCAGAATTCCAGCAATGAATAAACCACTACTTCCATCATTAAAAAGTTCTCTAGAGAACTGTATTTTGGTAAATCTAATGTAGCTGAGACAAGATGACAATATTTTGTTTAGATCATCTTATATATGATGGTCACACAGTATACTGTTTATTCAGTTCATAATTTTCTTGGTCTACCATATAAGCATTTTTTTTCCTTTTTTTCTTTTTTTTACAGAAATGAACAAAGCTGTTACTGGGTTGGCTAAAGACCTGCTTTGTGCTGTGGGCCATCTGCAGCCCTACCTCATTTCTACATCGTGACTGCAGAAATAGCCCCTATCTGGGGCATGCTATTCTTGTGGCAAAGGGCTATGCTGACACAGGACAACCTCTCTGTCAACAGAATGAGACATAATGGTGGAGCAGAAGTAGCTATTCTGCCTACAAGAAAGCATCACAAGGATAGAAGTGTGTAACCTGCTTACAGGGAGAGGAGGAGAATGATTTCAAACAACACTAAGATGTACCGAATTAATTACCAGTAGAGCTTAGCTTTATTATACTGCTCTTTTGGGTACATGGGTATCATGGGAAGGAAAGAAGTCTTTGATTGCAGCAGAGGCAAAGCAAAGGCTCTGAATATGTCCCATGTCCATCTATCCCTAATTATATCATGTTATTTTACCACTGAAATTAAAGAATGAATTCAATATTTAAAATGCAAATATAATTAGAAATGCAAAGAATATAACAATATTAAAAATGCAAAGGAATGCAAATATAAATTATGTAATTTATCTTTTTGACATACCTTGTCTGTAGAGATTTGGGCTGACATAATTTCATCTTGTTTAGTTTGCAGATAAAAAGATAATCCCTAATACCATGTAAATTATATTGTGGAGAGCTATTCATGGATGGGGGGGTAACCTGGCTTCTTACTGGCACTGTTGGGACCCCTATATGGAAATCTATTCCATCCTGCCATGAGTTCAGAGAGGTCAACATCCTCCTATTGTCTCTAAGACATTAGCTTAAGGCTGGAGGATGCCCTGGCCTTGGTAGTGAATGGCTCCTATCTAAATAACAATAGACTTGGGCCCAGGCAGGTTTACTCTCACCCTGAAGGCTAGGTGATGTGCACAGCTATGAAGTGTACAGAGTGTCTTTAGGATTAGGGGAGTAATTGCTATTTGTCCTTTATATATGATAAGAGAAGTCTTCTGCCATTGTCCCCCACCTTTGGTTGATTACTTAAGATGGTGCATGAATAAACTGAGGGGCATTCAGTATGAACTGAAACTGCCCTCCTGCCAATTATTCTGTGTCTTTGACTCATAACTCTCTTAGCTAGCCTTTCCCTCATCCACACTGCCCCATTCAGGAATGGACCCAGGGCTTCTTGGCTGGTCCTGACCAGGGCCCCCCAAAACACAGTTCACGGCATATGGCTCAGCAACATGGAGCTAATACAGATAGGGATGACAAATGGGGCAGCAATGTGGAGCTAATACAGATGGTGGCACCATATGGTGCTGAAATGCGGGACTGAGAACGGGGGACAGAAGTGATGGACACTGGAGACAGATAGACACCACAGGTAACAAGTGTGAAGAGAGCGCTCGGAAAAAAGGAGTGCAATGAGTGGACATCGAACATCAGGAGTGAAAATGTGTATAACTGTAGATATGAAACAGGAAACTATTAGTCAGATGACAAGGAAG